TCAACTGGTACGTAGGAGTTAAAGCCTGGGTGTGTATTAATCTGCATCTTATCTCTATAGCCTATCCAGGGTTCCTGGATCAGAACTATGTCGATCTGATCTGCCCAGCAGAGCTCTAAGAGAGCTGTATGGGCTGGGCTCGTTCGGGATTGCATGGGCGACGCGACCATCAATGCTCTTTCTCAGCAATACGAAGACAACAAACCTTTCCCAAATATAAAGCTGTTCGCTTGGAGGTCTAGCCTCCTGCGCCCATGGCGCTAGAAGCTCGGTTTGGATGGCATAGTGAACTTCGTCACTTGGGCTAGGATCTCGGCAGTCGACATCAACGGAACCACTTACCCTGAAGTGTGCCGGATCTTTCAGGTTCCAAAAGGAGTTCTGCTTGATGGCAATTGCATTACCAATCTCAGTCTTCGCGATGTCATCATCTTCCATGACAACCTGGCTCGTCTCATCAACCACTTGCCAAACGTTGTCCACTTCAGCCTAGAGCTCAACCACGATCTGTTTGAGCCCGGAAGAAACACCGAGTTGCTTGAACCGCTGCCGAGCCAGGTGATCGAATGTCTGCAGCCGTTGTCTCTCAGGTTGCAGTCACTTACCTTGGTCATCGAAGGCACCGAGGGTGTTGCTTGTCCGTTAGTGTATCTCGCATCGACACTCGCAAAGTTCCTATTCTTGAAGAAGCTACGTATCGGGATGTGGTGCTTCAGAGGCGAGCTTCTAGACCATCTACCACCTTTCATCACACACCTGGATATCCCAGGCTCGAAGGACAAAACAGGCGAAGGGCCATCAGCACTGTATTGAGTAGGCTATTTGCGGTCTCGCAAGTTTGGCTGCCACGGCTGCAGCAAATCAAAGCCCCTTTCCGTCTCCCTGTTCCTTTCAATAGGTCGATTCAGGTAGAACTGAATGAAGAGATAGTATAATAGAACAGAATGGTTATCCTCTTTCTCATTCTTGATGTCGTCCATATAGTTCTTCTCGCCCCTATCGTCGTCCATCGTCGTCGTCCATCGTCGTCGTCCATCGTCGTCGTCCATCGTCGCAGTCAATCGTCTAACCCTTATTGCAACCCCTATCGCTTTCTTTACTACTGTCGTCCTTGTTATTGGGCACGCTGGCTACAGTTATAGGGCACATTGCCCGGCTAGCAAGACTCACCGGAATACACTTTGATGGTCTACATGCCACCACGGATTCAGCGGCGATGATGGCTGAATTGACGGGCTTGGAGGGACCAGGGATGAATACAACGGCATCTTCTGAGTTCGTTAATTGATTTGACGAGTGACCCGTTGGTTCCTCTGACTTTGTTGCCGCGAGTCTGTCGAATCCCGGCGCAGACAAAGCACACACACGGTGAGCATGCGGATGACACGGGTCAATAGAATGAGAAGTCGTCCCAAACCAATGCTCCGCCCCGGCAGCAAACTCATGGACGGGAAGCTCCTGATGAAACGAGCGAGTTTTGCCGAGGGCATTGCATCCCGCCGGGAGGGCATGGGCGACGCTGCCAGGGGGGCTGGTGGATCCGATACGTCTTGGCCGGCAGAAATTGCCGGGAGTTGCGGCCATGCAGTCGACTGACTTAATGTGGCTGGCATCCCCCGGGATGCCAGAGTTGCGACGATGTCTTGGCGCAGTCTGATGAATCTTGCCACTTCAGATGACTGAGATGACGAATTGAATGATTTAGTCGTGATACTATGTCATGATGCTTCGTAAATCACTGTTTTCATGTTGAAGACGCTGCATGCATGAGGGAAATGGCGAAGAAATTCACTATCGTGCCCCATTGCACCTCGACGACACGCTGCCTGTCACGGAGAATTCGCATGGCCCCAGAGGCTCCGCCCGGAGCGATCCGAAGCAATCGTGGGGCGTACGAGCCATTCGTATTCGAGGAGCCATTGAACCGCCAGATCTGGTACCGGGGACACTGCTCTGTGACCCGTTTCAGAAACTCGAGACGAACCTGAAGTTGCATTTTCCAATGTTCCCTTCCTCCACCGTCCCAATCCAGCCTCCCTCTTCGTCCAGAAACCGTCTCATGATCCGCCGTGTGGTTTAAGCATCGTCCGGTTAGAGTAAAAGGCTCGTTGCTGTCAGGAAGGGTTGGGGTCCGGATGAGTCCGTTCGGAGGCCGAGTGCAGCTTCAATCTGGAGAGCCAGGGGGTGGGATCCAGCGATCCCTGTCAGCGAGCCGCAATTAACCACAACGTTGTTTGGGACTGGGTTTGGAGGACCGAGTCTTTCGCAGAGTCAAAACAGTCGGCGGTATAAAGACTCGCGCTCTCGGCGCGGGTTGATCTAGTGGTACCCTTTCCCCCTCGTCAAGCCAGTCTTCCCAGTTTTCTTCGATCAATCCTTGTGCAACTCAACTTTCATTCTTTCCGCTGTGCGGCTTAAACATTCACTATTTACCTCACAAACAACTTATTCGTTCCCAACCCACAACTCTTTCACCCCAGTCAAAATGCATTTCTCCGTCACCGCCATCATCCTCGGGCTCGCCGCCGTCTCCTCCGCCGCCATCGCCGACGTCGAGGGCGTGCGCAACGTCGAGCGCAACTCCATCGTTCTCGACGCCCGTCAGGCCAAGAAGGCCACGGGTGCCTGCTGCATTCCCAACACGTCGCTGAAGCAGGATGCTTGCACTGATGCGGCGGGCGCGGCGGGCAAGTGTGTGCCTGGAGGACCTACTGCTTGTAAGTTATGACTTTCAATTACTCCGATCGTCCAGTATCATGGTGAGATTTAGGACTGACCTTTGGGGATGTGACAGGCGGCGGAGCGCTTAACTGCGTTGCTACCACGAGCTTGGCCTGCGACAACAGCGTCAAGGAGCGCTCTGGTGTTCTTTGCCGTTTCAAGCTGCCTAATGGCAAGCTGCAGGATGGTGTCAACCAGATTACCAGCCTGAGCCAGGCCAAGGTCAACTAAAGAGAAGGGAATACTTGAGTGGGGGCTTAGGGGGGTAGTCTTTCGTTGAGATATTGTGTCTTGGCGAGGATTGATATATAGTAATTGGAACTCCGTAGTTACTTCAGTTGACTTGCTTGAAGGTTTTGAGTGATATGGCGCATCGATGCGGTTTTGAAGAATTCCTTTTGTGTGAAATCCGGAGTAAGTTTTGAGAAAGCGAGGGCGTCCAACACATGGTACCATCGGCGGACTCCAGCAACCCAAAGTCCTGGTCCATTCGCGAGATAATCGCGTAGGCGGATCGTCGCGTCGGAAGTTCTGAGTGCGCGGAATAGATTGGCACTCATGGCTCCTCGCTAGTGATCTCGTATCCAAAAGAGGGCCAGCAGAACTAAATGTTTCCTGGATCTGTCCCAAGAGAGGACGAAATGCAATGCAAACTTCCGGTTCGAACATGGCGCCACCTGGGAGGACTGAACGCCAGCTTTGTGAATGCGGTCATTGCCCTTACAGAGAGTGAGACCAGCGAAAGGGCCCGGGGGGGCCGAACCAAAGTAGTTCTCCTCAAGGGAACGAGAAGCAGAAGGGGCGGGGTGGGACAGAACTCGTCACCGTGGAGTGGTGATCGCAACTCGATCGAGCTGGCGATGATGTGTACCCAATACTAATTTCACCCGCGACTTTGAATGAAATCGCTCCGATCCTCGCCGTCGTCGGCGGTGTGGATGAATTGGGTATTGAGCACCTCAATTGAGTCGCTGCGCTCGCGGCAACGGGGATGTGTGCATTCATCTCACTTTGCGTGTGAAGTGTTTGACATAACTGAACAAACTTGCAACGCTTTCACAACGGACTTAGTGGTAGGTTAATAGGCTGCTCTTGAGATTCGCCAGTAGGCTAACTGCGGGTCAGAGAAGATGAAACTCTAGACGTCCTTCGCAAGCGTGTTGTTTCAATCGGTGATAGTAAACGGACCAGCCAATCTTGTATTCGTTGACCGGTTGAGCACCGCCTTGTTGCAGGTAAAATGATGCTCGAGGAGATCAGTGGTACTTGCATAACCATTAGGCTCATTCAACAGCTCCGAAACATTGCTTCGACGCTGGTCAGCACAGAGGTGCTCAATCGTTACACGCCTCGGACGTTGATGTCGTTCGAGCCTCCGGGAAGCAAGCCAATCAGAACAACATGGCGAAGATTGACCGATAGCCCGGCTTTAAGATCTCAGCTTGTAGAGGACAAGGCCATGCTCGCGCTGTACGTATGCCTCCACAGGTCTGTTATCGGGCCTGGGTGCCGCCGTCAGCGTAAAAGCAGTTGCGATGAGGACATGAAGATTATCTTGTCAATCAAGACTCGAAGCTACGTTAAATTGTTGGGACATGGTGATTAGTATCAGCTATGCCTTTGCCAGGCTCCTTCGGTATACCGGCTGAGGTATTGAATGACTCATAATCGAAGAGAGGTTGACCGGGAAGATCATTGACTTTGAAGGGAATCAAGTCCTCCTGCGTCTAAACTACATGACCTCACTGATTCCGCAAGCCGGGTAGATATTTTGGACAAGGGATGAACCCAAAGATCGTCGAGCCGTGTACCATCTGCGTTCGTTATCCGAGCAGAGGCAACGGGCTTGATCGTTGAACTCCTCCTGGACACAGCCTGTGTAACTTCATGAGGGCCCGGATCACATCATAGTATCTTAGACGTTGAAATAGGGGTCTTCATCCGATTCCGAATGCCGGCTAATTTGAAATAATGAGAGGCAGCAGGACTTAAGTAGAGAAGCAGCCTGGCCCTATCCTTCAGCTCCATGGAAGCCGATACTTCATTTCGGCAAATTTTTCGAATGCCGAGGCGGATGAAGCGCCAGTCTTTCTCATTAGCACGGGGACTAAGAAGAGTCAACGCTTTTGGAGACATGACGCGGGGTCTCCCGGGCTGCAAGCCCGAGGAAGCCATTTTGGCTCTGTCGCATTGAGGATCGCCTGTTATTAGGTTTGGGATACTCCAGGCGGTGATTGATACTGTCCATGGATGCTTGTTGTACATCGCGAGGCCGAAGTCGCTACTAAGAACATTGCAGCTAGGTACGGTAATTAGATTCTTTAGACAGCGGGACGCGGTCTAGAGTTCCACGTCTGCCCTTGACAGCAGAATGCAATCCATCATCGCTATAATCGCCGCAAGAGCTGCTATCGGCTTTGGTATTAGTATCGTCGTAGTCCATGTCCACGTCTGACTCGGCACTATGCTCTTTGGAATCAAACTTATGGCAGCAAGACTATGAGGATGGAGTGATTTCTGTCGATCTCTTCAAGATCGCTGCGGCACCCAAAGTAGAGGACGTCTAGGTCCCCAATGGATCTTGGGGTTGAACGGCTTTTTGGCTTCGTAAAAAGCTTCCGCATGGCTAGCCAATAACCTGTTCGATCGATTTGTTGTTATTCCGAATCAGGGAGTCGCGAAGAATTGTGATACGCGCTTATCAGACCGCATTCAAACAAATAGTTTTCTCCGTCAAGTTGTACGGACGGGTTTCACCGAAGGCTTCGTCGCGGATCTTTGTACGTGGGTTAGACGACGAAGCAGAATATCATCCAATATCCTGCGGCAACAAAGCCGAATATGTGAAGTCGCAACTGCGCCGCGTCCGATGTAGTAGCCCACGTCTACAACAGCAGAAACAAGACTGAGACCGCAGATTGCCGGCACCCTCAACCTTGATTTCCCCCTAAACAGGCTTGAGAACTCAGGAGACTCCCTTATGATGCGACGAATTGGATGGTCCCCTATGAGTACTGGATTTTTCAACGCCAGCGGTGAATATACCACATACACGTCCGAGTTCAGAGCCAGTCAAGCAACATATTTTTGTCCTGAACTGAGGAACTGGAACAGGAGGGCCCGGGATAGCTCAGCATTCGGTGCACTCCAGAAAGACAACAGCGGGTAGCTAGAGGGGGGTTGCGACAAGGGGAACTCATCTCAGCTCGTTGGTCTTCGACGTACAAACGATGTTCCGACTTAATTCTGCCGTTAAGAATTCTCTCTTCCTCCAAATGCAGAGGACCAAGGCTAGGATTTAGTAGCACGCCGTTCTGAGGTTATGGCCTTGCTAGAAGAGTCCGCCGAAGAGAATGCCATGAAGGGGTCCAGAATTCCGAGTTTTGTTGATTTGGTATCGCCCCAAGCCGGAGGATATCTCATAACCAAAAGATTTCAATCCGCACTAAATTAGAGCGAGGGGTCTTATCCCATCACAATGGCAATGTTCTAAAAGGACTGCTCCAGCTGTTGCACTCGAATTGCTCTATCTGCTCGGGCGTCAGGATTACCAGGAGCAGGATCAGAGGCAGCTATTTCCCAGGGCGATATTCCCTCTGAATATTCCAAGAAAACACAACGTTGTATCCAAGATCTCATTCGAGTGACCAGTGTGCTATTCTGGACCTGACCATCAGGAGACATGCCTGCTCGCTGATGCTTGACTCAATGTAGAAGCATTACACTTTGTCCCACAGACCCCTGAGATTGGTCTTTGGAAGCCAGTGAACGCGCATTTTGAGACGGCTTTGCGTCACTCTCGTACCTGCTCTCTCCATCTCTCGTACCTTGCACACCACGACCATGTGGTCTCCTGTCCTTTGAAAGTTATGACTCTTGGATCTTGGCCCGGCTATTAGTGCTGGAGCGGATTCAGTCCCCTGATCGAAGCTACTAGATACTCCAGACTTATCACGAGTCAGCTCCATCCTCTCATGAGGTTCAGCTTAGAGACAAAGTCGGTATCAAGAATGTTTCCGCGCTAGTGCAAAGTCTCCAGGCAAGACCGAGACGCAGCCCAATCATGTCGATATAAACTGACGATGGATCTTTTGAGCAATTGCTGGCGCCAGCGAAAGTTCGTTAATAAGACCCTTTTAGCGAACCGAGCCACGAAAACATTGATCGGATGAGTTTCCGTGATGATAGGCTCTCAAATAGCTGCCTTCAAGTGGGATTATATAGGTGGCCGTACAACGTCTCCTTTGCTCGAAGAAGCATCGTCAGAGACTAAGGCTGCCTTCGCACCACTATCGCTGTCACCTCCAAATGCCTATTCCTCTGAGAAGCCCTACTCAAGGGAGTCCAAGGCTATAAATCGCAGAAAGTTCTGGTCCTGTCTCTTCCGTTTCATCCTCTCGTACTCTCCAGGTGCCATGGCCTTCAGTCGAGATCTTGCCCTCGTACTGACAGTTGCTTCGAGATTGCCTTCAGCTTTCTACGTCAAACAATCCCAGAAGCTGCCTATGTTTATAATACAAGCTTGCTCCGAGCGAACCACGAACATTTGTCGAGGCCTGCGGCCGTAGCCTTCGCGATGGGAGCGCTTTGCCCGTCTTTCTCATGGATAGTGGATGCGAGCAGCTCCTTAGCCTGCTCTAAACCGCCGGCTATCCGCCGGACGGTGTGCTCGCTTCCCTGCCCATACTTCTAGCATATGGCGTCGGTGTGTAGTAGGGCCGACTGGACGAACAGAATCTCATGGTCGACTTTCCAGGACCTAGGATGACGAGGTCAACGAAGTGACCTCGGATGCCATACCATGTCGCATCTGAACGATGGCTCTGCGGCGATGCCATCCACTCTCGACTTGGTGAGAGCCATAGTACCTCGCCCGATGGTAACTTGCGGCCTCTCAACTAAGCTTGAGGCGAGCCTGAGGTCGGGCCGCTGGCGAGCGGGGCCCGGGGCGCTGGGCATCTATCCGAGGCACAGCCAGTACCATACCGCAATCGCCCCATCCAAGTTCTACACATATGCGTGCCCTGGTCGGCGAATGCCGGGAGGATGACTCTCGGTGGCAGGATTCATGCTGCCAAGGTATAGCCAATACCGAGATCGTGCTTCCTCGCCATCCTCATACCGGAGAACTGTGCGGTTAGCTCGAGGTTACAAGTACTGGAGAACCACAATGCAGGTGAACCTCTGGCACTGCCAACGCCATTGAGGCTCAGTAAAATGATGGGACAGAA